AGAGGTTTCTACACTCTTATAATGTTCCCCTCTACAGCTCAGGTAGGATTTCACAATCTATCGAGAGCTCAACGTCCTTAAATTTCCATATTCTTAAGCAATGTTTTGTTTCACTCTCCAACGGATGTACTATCTCACAATCCACCCTTCTTTTATTTTCCGTTCAGCCTTTTCTATAAATTCCCAACACAGATCACAAGCCCTCGCACCTTTGAATTCCGAAAAAAAAAAAAAAAAAAAAAAAAACCCAAATGGTGTTTAATGAAGAACAGCGAGTAAGATCTTATGATCTGATCATCATAAACAAGGACAGCAAAGAGAAATGTTGAAATTTGATGGTACTGTCGTAGTACTCAAAAGAAAAGGAAAAGATATTAGGAGGGAATAAAATATATAAAGAAAGAGGATGAGGCCATAAAAGAGCAGCAGCTACATCAAGCTTTGTGAACGGGGGAATTTGAGCCAAGTGTGAGTTTTTTTGATTCCTGAATGGCATACAAGACCGGATTCAAAGTTACGAAAAGAAATTACACTTTTTCAAATCTCAACTCTTGCCTCATCATCATCATTTCTAAATCTTCAAACACAAGTTCGAGGAATTCAACAACATCATCAACTTCGTTTCTCTTATTTTAACACCAAAACAAGCAAGAAAACAAGAGATTTTTGAAACCATAACCAGATGCCTTTTGGTTTGTGAGTATTCCTTTTTGTTCATTCTTTTTCTTCATAAACCATATATACAATCATAACCCATAAAGAAAAGAGAATGGAAATTATTCATTTCCATTAGTCACAAAGTAAAGCAAAGTACTGATCCGGATTCTCTTAATACCCATCAACCCATCATATAATTTAACCACAAAAGCACTTTCCCACATGATCGGTCACTTCTCAAAATGGTTCTTCCACGTTAAGCTTCTTAAATTTTGCTTTGCATTTTACAAAAATGCCTTAAAAAAAAAGCCACCTTTTTTGCGTATGTTTTTTATTGGATAATCTCTTCCTTGTGTTCTTTACGTTTTGTAAGAGATAATATGTTGAATGCATTAATAATTGTGTATAAAACAATGCATTAATAAGGGATGGTCGTGTGGTAGTACGGCCCCTCATAGGCACGCGCGCATGCCCTTCGGGAACCCTAAATGAAAAGCGCACACACAAAGTGCCTCTGGGCTTCCACTTCCACTACCAATCCCTAAATTATTTACTTCTTTTATTCCATCCAACACAAACAAACACAACCTCCACTACTTACGCGTCTCGCTTCCCTAATACTATCACTTATTTTCATTTTCATATATTTAACGACCTAGATCAAGCCAGTAGATATTGTCCTTTTTAAGTTTTCCCTTTTAAGCTTCCCCTCGAGGCTTTAAAACGCGTATGTTAGGGAAAAAGTTTCCACAGCCTTATAAATGATGATTTGTTCTCCTCCCAATCAATGTGGGACATCACAATCCACTCCCCTTCGAGCCCAGCGTCCTCGCTCGCACTCTTTCCTTTCTCGAATCGATGTGGGACCGCCCCCAAATCCACCCCTTTTGGGCCCAGCGTTCTTACTGGCACACCGCCTCGTGTCTACCCGCTTCGGGGAACAACAAAAGGGCCAGCGTCCTTATTGGCACACCGCCTCGTGTCTACCTGCTTCGGGGAACAACAAGAAGGCTGGTACATCATACGGAACCTAGCTCTGATACCATTTGTAACGACCCAGATCTACCGCTAGCCAGATATTGTCTTATTTGCCTTTCTCTCCTGAATTTCCCCTCAAGACTTTAAAACGCGTCTGCTAGGATAAATGGTGATTTGTTCTACTCCGAAATGTGATGGTGGGACATCACAGTAGGATTCAAAACCCAAAATTGCAAAACATTTTAATTGTCATTCATTACAAATTAAAAAGGGAACAGGAACAAAAGGGTAAAATTTATATACTAATTCCACCCCATCTGCTAAATCCAGCTATCATCAACTACCCACTTACGCTGCCCTGTCTGTGTCGTTGAGTACTTTACCTGAATTTAGCACTTGTTCCTGTTCTTCCCAATACTCTACCACTACTCTATTTTTAACATCAAATATTACAATCTGATATCTTTTTTTTTTTTTTTCTTCTCTATAAAACTCCCTACTGCATGCATACTTTTAATCTCTTCACCGGAATGTTCCGCCGAACGTCGGAGTCCAGAAATCCGCCGTGCCTACATTGGACACCGGAAATGTGCTTGAAACCGGCACCAAGCAAAGCCCTCGGCTTCTCAGATCTTGTTTTGGGCAATCTGGGTCTTCCTTTTCACATACCTGTTGGTGTTGTTGGGTGGGTGTTATTCCATTGTTGCTCTTCATATATGGAGTGCTTAAGACCTGAAAATTACAACCAAAATTAGGCTGTAAATAAAGTGTTGATGATTTGAATTTTGGGAGGAAATTAAAGTTGATACACATAAGTGGAACATACACTGACTTGATCGTGGAGGAACTTGATGTACTCAATGGCTTCGTGAAGAACTGAGGCAGTATCGGTCTGGGAAGACAGAAGAACATATTTAGAGATTTAATGATATGTTTTCTTTTCCAAAAAGGATGAAACATGGAAATCCAAAAATTCACCTTTCCAAACGGTGAAACCAGTTGTTGAAGCGCAGTCACACGGTCCCCTAGCTTCTCTTTCCGCACCTAATTGCCACACCGTTAGTTTTTGTCCTTTTTTACAACACAAGATTCTTCCTTTTTTTTTTTTTTTTTTATAAAAAAACACATACCCTAGCCTAGCTATTCTACAATTAATGTAAATTGGATTTTAATTACTCATAAAATCTCACCTTAAATGTCGGCAATGGTGATGGAGTTTCAATTCGAGGCCTTTTGAACACTGGTGCTGATTCATTTGCGCTGTTTTTGTCACATTTCTTGGGTTCTTGACCATTTTCACAATTACCATTATTGATAGGCTGAAGGAAAACAAACATATAATTAAAGCAAGCTACACAACGTAAGGATTGTTAATTATTAGCAACAAAGAATTTACCTTGGCGCTCTTTTGTTCAAGTAAGGAAGCAATGCCCTGTGGAATGTGAGTTGAAGAAGCTGCGGTTGGGGCGTTCCAAAAGGGAGTGTTATTGGCGAAGTGCAAGGCGGCAGAAACAGGCTGAGGGTGAGGATGAGGGTGGGTTGCGTTGAAAAGGGAATGGGCATGTGGTGGTTCTTGTTGTTGTTGTTGTTGATGAGGGTATCCATATAAAGTTGAGTCAAGTGGAAACAAACCCTGGCAAGTGGGTGTGTTAGTTGTGGATGAACAGTTAACAGACATCAAACCATTTTGCTCCAACATGTTGTAATCTTCATCATCTCCTTGCTTCAATCCGTTTATGAAGCTCGAATCAGACGTGAAACTCGTTTTAATTTCCTCATCTTTGTACCTCTCAATTCCATTCGAATTGAAGTTGCTCTCACCTCGCCCACCGCCGCAACTATCCAAACAAAACGAAATTAAAAAAAATTAATTAATTTTTTTTATCACAACAAATTTAGATTTGATTTTTTTTTTTTTTTTATTCCAAGAACTTACAGTAAACCATCAGGTTGGTTCAAATGATCGGAGGTGGTGGAAGAAGAGAGAGCAAAACCCATCATTTGGAAGGTGGAATAGTCTTGAAAAAGCATGGAGTTGTTGTTGTTGTTGTTGTGGTCGGAATCAGTTGCGGACTTGGGCTTGATGTCGAGGAAATCATCCGCCGGCGGCCAACCTAGGTCGCCGATCCCGACAGAACAGGGCGATAAGCCACCGACGGTGACCATCATGTTTCGTGAAGAGCTCCACCAATTATCGCCGCAAATAGCAGCCTGAAAATCCTCTGCCATATCCTAAACCCCAATGACAAATCCCTGCCTCTCTCTAACTTTGTGTTTACTATCTCTCCCTTTAAATATGAAAGAGAGAGAGAGCAGTTTATTATATATATATATATAAACTCAAATTTAAAACCGGAATCGGGTTGACGTTTCGAGGAGAGATTGATGGATAGGACGCGAGGAACAAAAAGAGGGTTTTTTTTTTCCTAATCGAATTTCTTGGTTATTTTCTTTCTCTCCTACTTTCCCTTTCTTCTTCTCCCACTTTTTTTTTAATATTATTATTTTAATAATTTGGTAAGCAATTGTTTTTGTTACGTACGAATAAAGGGTGTAGGGTTGAGAATGGTGGTAAAGGTGACAGTTCTTGATCT